CAATGTCCGCTCCTTGCGGTAGCTGGACACTGGTCTGTAAACTATGTTATTAGTTTGAGGGTCACCTTACCCTACATTGCAGTGATGACTTCACGAGATCGCAGTGGTTGCGTGGGTGGTGAGCACACACACGTATGATAAACATTTGTTTCGTGAGGCCTAGTTTCGTTCAAATACCTGCCTAACATAGAGCCATGATTACAGGAATGTTTGTAAACAGTCGGTTGGTAGATATTGTTGACCTATAAAATAGACAAACCGTTTATTTTCAAATCTTTCCGAAATCAGGAGTGCTCGATAAGTTCCAAGCATTTTTAAGATGTTATAATAGAACGATTTGAAAGGTTAACACTGTGTCTTACGTACAGATCCTTAACGCCCACGGCTCAGGGTAGCCCACATTTTAAAGTTATCTGTGTCGGAATCCGTTTGTGTTGTAGCTGCCAGGGCATTGAAATTATAGTTTATTGTATGTGTGACCAGAAGTCACACTCATTGGCTGTTTTGGAATGAACTAAAATTGTTGATGCGCTTGTGTTGGAGGCAAAATTGTTCTGGTATTATGCCTTTGATGTTTCTAATTGTTTTCAAAGAGCTCCATATTCCGTGTTGTGGTTGTTGTTGTTGTTGTTGTTGTCACGGTTGCCCTCTTTGTTGGTGCTATTATTGTTATTGGTGTTGCTGTTATGGTGTTGTTGTTGCGGTAGTTGTTCAGTTGTTGGCATTGTTGTTGTCGTTGTCGCTTCTTGTGATAACGATAACTTTTCTCAATCAATTTCATCCATAGCGTTTTTAAATTCCTGCTTAAGAAAATCATTCCCCATAGATCTTTCAAGACTTTTCTTAACGCCTTCAAATGGCATTCAAAAGGTGCGAACGAATCTAAACGCTATCGTTCTTCGAGAGACCTATCACTAATAAATCACAAGCATCTCGCGCTGGGTACTCATCAATTTTGCTATAGGCTGTTTTCGGGTTAGCCAAGTAATGAAAAGTTAGCAGGTTTTAGGGTGTTGGCGTCCGTTGGATGTAAATTGAAAGTCTTAAAGACCATCCTGAAAAAGCTACGGACAAGCAAATTTCCCTTACGGATTATTTTGATAGTGTTGTGGATGCAATCGACCGAGGAAATATATATTTTGCTCAAAGCTTCTAAACAGCTTGAGGCTAGCACCCCTAGTCCAATGGACAAGGTTCGTTGATGCAGCAAAAGGCGCACTGTTTTTCGCTGCAAACTTTGATATAGTTTCACGCAAGAATCGCTGAAACCAAATTCTGTCCTTCCAAATCAAAAAGCACTGTCGGAACTTATAATTGGCAGACTTTTACGCACACTTTTAGTTGCCATATTTCCAACAAATGAGGCTAAGGAACATGACCAGAAAATGAACGAGCAGTCAAATGGCAAGCACGGTTTCACAAGGGGATTGTATTCCGCTCGTCGGGAAATATACCAATATATTTTACCACTTTATCCCAGTGACTCAGTCTCTCTACACAACTTCAGGGATGCACACAAAACTCTGATTCCCACAATTGTTAAAGTAAACAAGGCAGGTGTCAGGTATGAAGTGGATTGTCAAACCTAATTGACTACACTTCATATGAACCACATCAAGCATCGTTACACACCAGCAAATATTTAATACAACGTCGCTACAGATATTCCTTTTTACATTATTCTGGATGCATCTGTTTTACCTAAGCTAGTAGAATCACAACCAAAGTAACATGCTAATGCGACACATGAGTTACACACCTGAACAAGTTACGCACTTATGTGTTACGTAGATTCCTTTGCACGTACTTCTAGATACATTTACCTTACCAAAACCTATGGAACCAGAATCAAAGCGGCATACTAACGTGAACACATTTGTGGAAATTGATTGTAGAGGTTTTAAACGGAGTTGTGCCTCATTTCAGCGACTTGGGGTTATTACAAGCAAAAATCTTTTGTGTAACCCTTTTCAAACTCCTTGTGTTCTGTTGGGGAGATAATACGAGGTTCTGCTTGAAACGTGAATCAGCTTTACTCAGGGCGAGCTGGGGCGGCATGAGATGTTGCTCTCAAGCATACCTTTTGATTGTAGTGGACGTTGAGGTCCTGTCGACTTTCTATTAGACTACTCAGCCATTAACAGTGTCTAACTAGTTTTGCTCCCGCGGCTCACTGCGATGCACTCCATACTGAAAGTAGATGGTTAACGGAACACAAACGGTACAGCTAACTCTGATTAGCGACTAACCCGCTTGCGAGTTGAATGCTCCTCTCTACTGATAGTCAACTTGAGTTTTCGCATGAATCTGAAGCCATACCATTCTCGATATCATAGGACACTTTTCGTTAGCTATCTTTGTAAGCACTATGTAGCGCCAAAAAATGATTTTGTCTTTTGCGTGCAGTTTTATTATGGATTGCTCGTACACTATTCGTGCTAGTTTTATTGTCCTTCACCCTTGTTACATGTTAATCAACACTCGTCCTAGTGGGCGACAAAGGTAAATATACTCTGTCAAGAACGGACGGGCAGGGTGCGTGGATCAATGTTTCCAGTTATTGAAATATAAAACTCATAAAGTATCTAATGCATGTTGAACTATGCGGCAGCATTCTTAGTCTTGTGATATGAAGGCGTTCCCGAAAAGCTACACTCCATCTGTGCAAATCCTAGCCAAGACTTGTTAGTGCTGTTATTATGTCCATTGAAGTAAATTCCTGAACTCCTAAGAAATATGGCTAGTTAGCTAATCCGTTGTAACGTAAGGGCAACTCGCGTTTTTGCGTATTAAGTTAATTATTTTTATGCTAAATGATCTATCCTATAACAACCCTCGTAGCACAGTCCTCATGAGTAGCAACCAATTCTATTCCATCGATATTTTGCACAGACTACAACATAAAACATTTCTTTTGAGCGAATAAAAGTCACATGTTCTTTCGTCATCAGGAACAAAGTGAATCTTATTTTAGCTGAGCTGCTTCTGCTATCTTATGAGTGTCTCCATTCTATTAGTTAGGCGTGTAACATTCAATATGCACGAAAAGCTAACGTTATGAATAGACTCCAACGTTATACATACATATAACTCGAGTCCACAACTAAGCACTTCACTTAAGCTTCACTCTCTATAGCTAAATATGCACTCACTCGCTCAAGTTGGTTCTATATACTAAGAACCAGAGTACAAAGAATAATGCAGGTGAAGCTGAGTTTGTTGGATGCCATCAATCACAGTTGACTAGATAGAGAGGCAAAATGCACATCCGGCTTCATATGAATGGTATAAATAACACTAGATTTGTCTGTCATGCGAGGTGGTGTGAGAGGCTTCTGCAGGACAACTGATATAGGTAATCCATAAATAGCTTGCTGATTTTGTACTAGATCTGTTCGTTTCGATCCCTTCCAAACTGATGTCTACGTATTTGACGTTGCTTCTGGTATATATGTTTATGTTCGTAGAGCTTAGTAGTCACGATCACACCACATAATAATCTGCCTCGACAGGAATCGAACCCCGGTCTCGCAAATTACCAGTTCACTGCTCTACCACTGAGCTACCGAGGGCTGACGATCAGATGCGCAAGTTAATACTTGACTCCTGTTTGGTGCGCGACGTATTGCCAATGAGCTCACAGTATCTGTCCTGGTGTTGCAGATTGGCTCACTCACTCGTCACTTCCCAATGGACCGAAGTATCTGTCCTTCTGATGTCCAGTGGGCGATGGTAGATTACTTCTAAGAACATTACACTACTCACAATAATCCAAAGTAATCTACCATCGCCCACTGGACATCAGAAGGACAGATACTTCGGTCCATTGGGAAGTGACGAGTGAGTGAGCCAATCTGCAACACCAGGACAGATACTGTGAGCTCATTGGCAATACGTCGCGCACCAAGCAGAAGTCATCACATAACCAGGAAAGCTTGTCCAATTGAGGTTAGTTCTACCATTCTGCAATAATGCTTGGATATTATGTACCAACATGTTTACAGAGTTATGCTTAAAGGTGATCTTAACACCAGCACCCACCATCTCAAGTTAAAATAAGTAATCGATCACACGCTGGACTTGGAAGCTTGCGCAGCGAGTGTTGTGTGCATCAGTCCGAACGCCACCAAAGCAGCAGATCAGGTCTTCCGGGTGGATGACCACTGTTCTTGATTTTCGTAAAGAGCCTGGCATCGGAGTTATATCCAAATAGTTCAGTATTCGGAAATGGTTTAAAGATGCAGCAGGCTACCACTACGATAGAAAACCCAGTGCACTGCGAGGACCTCTGGCTAGAGCTTATGCACGAACCATCGTGAACGCGCTGCAGCGTGAATATGTGAAAGTTCTGCCTATACACCATCAAAGCCTTCACAACTACCGACTAGGGCCGCAACTTCTACAAGCCGCATCTAAGGATTATTCGTGCAAGCTGAAACTGTCTGTTTGTTGCGGACTAAGAGGGTCAAAGAAAACAAAGCTTCTGTTGTGGGGTGTTCGGAAATACTGTCGCATCAAGCATTCTGCAAGGATTTGGCGCTTAATTGTGCAGAAATGTGGAATACCCCATCTAAGTCTGGCAACCGTCACAAAGATATATTAACAACCCTATGGAGATAGCACAAAAGCTTCGGGAAATAAAATAAATCTATCTTACTTCCTTTCCGAAAAGGGTAAAAACTCTGAGGAAGTGATTTATGGAGGCACTGGCTGGCTGATGCTGAGTCGTTCTTCTCTTTAGGCTTCTGCTCATAAAGTTTCGTGGATATTCATTGCTTTGTAAAACAAGTCATAAATGGTTCTTTTCCTGCTGCTTTTATTCCATGTTACATAGTTTTTCCGATCTCTTGAAAGTAGTTTAGTTACAGCTCTTTTGTGACTCAGTATTTGATCCGTAAATATCCTCTTCCGATAGACGCAAGTTTAAATCTGTTATTACTAGGTATGTTCAGAGTGGTAATAAAATGATCATTTCAGTTTTATGCCTACCACTGCTACAGATTTGGGTCTCCCTTCGGTAGATCCTGATGATGAAACTATATCCAGAGTGGAACGGATCGCCTCCATCGTACAAGCACTCATCTCCAGAGGTTTGTTTCAAATTGAGTCTTCGCTGAATTCGTCCTTTACATATTTGTTACAACCGTTTCCATGGTTTGCGTTTCAGAATGCTTACGTAAATGGGGAATTTTTGTGATGTTATCCTTAGGTTTATTAGAGAATACACTCCTGGTTGCACTCCACTTTGCTAACCATCTTACCGCGTCGCTTGTTGTCCAAGTATCGGAGCGCACGATGATTTCAGACGCCCAGTAGTGATCTGCATTTTTGAATGATAGTACTAATAGTAAATTAAAAGAGATTTTGACTGTATTCATAATGATGAAATGCTGGGCATCTTGAGCAGAATAAGATGAAAGGGACGGTTGTAGAGGGACACGCGTGCTGGAATGCATTATGCGTGTCTGCTTGTACATGCATCCTGAAACAAAATTATTTTATAGGGACGTCAGTGACCATCTGGACTTCGCTGGTAACTTGACAAGGTTTGGGATACCATGACATTTTACTTACGTCAGCATTTAGGAATTCCCATTAGGTAGTTATAGCTAGGCAAGGGATGCCATTCTTTTAGCCACAAGGGTCACTCTCTTACATGTGGTATGATGTTTGTTCACATGGCAAGCATAGATTACTTTATGTCCGCAACATAGTCGTGCAGAAGGCCGATAAAATCACGGGCTAAGCTACATAAATTTTTTGCTTGTAGTTAACATTGCCTTCGGTCCCTATCCCGAACACTTGGAATCAGTTACCTACTGTTACTGGTTCTAAGTAGGTTAGGCGGTTATTCAGTGTTTTTCTAGCCCGTCATTTCCGGTATTGGCTGGTCCGGCTGTGACGAATCTACTACGAACTTATAAAAGCATCACCTCGATCCATAAGCCCAGAGATTATGCTATGATCATAAACATTTGGTACTGAAGTTGTATCTGTCTGTGTATGAGACTAAGCACTACACATGAAACAATGGAATTGGTAAGCAATCCATGTGAGGTGCCAACTTTGCTGCCCAATATTTGGGAGATTACGTATGTTTACGGAAGCGGTCCAACCTGTTAGTTTGATTGTTCTAATTATATCTGCCAGTGAGTCACAGATAATTTACATCTGGTACTTGATCATCGATTCCTTGGCATTTCAGTAGCGATCCATATCAGCTATACATCCATGACGCTGGACCCGTCTAAGTCTATCCTCTGGAGTCCTGTATGTTTCGAAAGGATATCATTTGGTTGCTTATCCTGAACCATCACACCTGATACCGGGGTAAGACCAGAGGCAGTGGGATATTGAGTGCTGATGTCCCGAAACCTCCGAGTATCACATCCATCAGTAATTCTCGCGGTGACAGAAATAAACTAGGTCGGTTGTCGATCTCTGGAGTACCCGTCGTGTGTCTTGGATCGCAACCCGCAATTTCAGTTATGGCTTCAGTTGAATTTAAAGTCAGCCTGTGTCATTCCGATCACTGGGGCAGTATCCGAATTTGAGGGTCTTGGTGTTACTGTCTCCCATTCCTGCACTCCACGAAGCGTTTTGTCCCGGTTTGGACTATTCAAGTAGATAGCCTAAATGATAAATGTAACAGTACATAATGGTTGGCGGCTATCGCAATGATCACTATAACCCTGAGCTCCGCAAACAGGAATGGAAGAGAGCAACACTGAAATCCTCAAAACTAGGTCGGACATTATGCAGTACCGTTTTAATCTCCGATGGCTGCCGTTGCTACGCTTATCCCATCCTTCGAAAACGTAGTTCAAAATGGGTTGGGCTGGTGCATCAACCTAGTCTTCAACCCAGGCGATAACTGATATTTACCACTACTCCAATGAAACCGAAACATCAAACTTTCTTTGCGTTCAAAAAGCCCTCCCTGCTTATTTCCAAGTATCCATGTTTGTTGACTGCACTAGTGCGCAAAATCAGTTAAATATAAGTGCACACTTGTAGTGGGTTCTAATCCACAGCTGAGTTGAAGTTCTTAGTATAGTGTGCCCATATACCGTTAACTCTCGATAATATGTACGAATATACTAGAGAAAGATTTGCTATCAACTAGGGACATCATGTTAGAAATAGGAGAGTCTACCTATCATTCCCGTTGACACCGTTAGCAACCAACCTACCCAGTAGTTTCTCTCTACTATATTGCTTCAGATGTGCCAATGTGCGAGCGGCAGCTAATCCGAACGGGATACCAACACAAAGTGTTGTAAGTTTTTCTTTACCTTTATCAGTGTGAGGCTGTTTAACCTTAGATTTTTCGTTTAGGAAAATGTCACTCGTCCTGTAAGTCTTGTTTTGTTCCACTATCTAGCCGAGTACTGTATTTTATACGTGTGCAGTTTGTACAGTAGTTTCAAATATCTACACCGGAAGCTCTGTTCGCTTGCGGACAAAAGCCATTCACTTATTAGCTACTTGATAAGTGCCCCGAACTCTGACCAAAAAGCTTCATTGAAGGATATGAGTTATCGATCCAGCCTAAGACAACGTTATCAACGCTGTAATATTTGAGATTGGAAAGTAGAATCCGATGATCTAAACGGTTAAATGCATATAAAAATTCTCTCCTGTGTCAGTCGACTATATCCAACTACTTCCTATGATTAATATATTCATCCTCCGTGTTGCTTGGATAAAGATTGTCACCATTTGCCCCAAGACACATTAGCATATCAGCAATCATTGATTATAGCGGCGCTGAACAGTAGATATAGAAGTGATACAGTGCGGTAGTTTAAAGGCTTAGTCTTGCTTCTGCCTTTGTGAATCGGTTAGTACGCCATTTTTCCACATGGCAGGACGCTGGTTCTGTTTTAAGCAGCGCTGGAGCAACGGAGTCAAAGTTTCTGCCAGTTATCTTGCTACTGCTCTCAGTGCATCTGAAAGAATGGCATAAACACAAGTGGAGCTGTGTTAGGAAGGTGCGTACTGAACATATATTTCTGTGACAATTCTTAGTTACATACGTTTGTTTCGCTAACGCACGCTTTTTCGTTTGTTTAAATGCGTCATTTATTTGCCTTGACTTGGCCGACCTACTTCCTTCTTAATGGATAGTATCTCAGGTGCTCATTCCCACTAATACCGTTTCCTCAAACGCGCGTAATTGGTTCTGAGTTTTAGCGCTTAGCATTTATGTGTGGTTCAGCGTGTTCTATGTTGATATTTGGCCCCAAGGTGTTTTAGTAGCCTTTCCTATGGAGCATATTTCTGGTGTTCACAAAAATTTCTGGCGACGAAGCAGCTGGTGAACAGTCGGCGGCGATACAACAAGCTATGGTCAGGCAGAGAGATTAGCTTCCACAGTACAGTTTCAGCAGTAAAGGTGATGAGAGACGAGTCCTGGAGGAGAGACAACTAGATCTCGAAGATCACTTGATGGCAAGACCGTCTGAAGTGTAAGAGCATATTGCGTCCGCAGCTCGTTTGTTGCTTCTATAGGCGTTCTTGTCGGGCTATCATCCATATATGTATGTAATCTCAGCAGTCTAGCAAATAGCCACAGAGCCAATAGAGAACCATGGAGATCAGCGGAAAAGTGGCAATCACTGCGTCAGAATCATCGTGGCATAGTAGTTGAAGGTGAGCGACACACTTTAGCTAACATGCCGCGGGAAGAAAGGAACATTTTGACAAAAAGTAGAACAAAACATTTTTAGTTTGTTATACACGCGCCAATTTTTCTCTTTTTCATTTTCAATGTTTGAAGTATTGAACATGTGAATCAATACAATAGTGTACACAATTCTTCCACTGACTCCGTTAGCGGGCCATGTCTTCAAGAGTGTTACACTATTGGCACTCCTCATCTTTGGGCCCCCATCCTGAAAGACGTACGGATCCAACAGCGGCTAGACTCGACGTCAACGATTTTATGTGCTGGCGAGATATAGAAGGCTGACCACCACGCGGTCTCCTGCAGCTAGGTCCTTGACGAGCGGATAGAGCGTGACGCGGTAGACGCTCAGGTATCATGCGTAGGACGTGACCGAGTCATCTCAACTGGCACGACAAAACCAGTTTGTTGAAGGGAATACTCGCATTCTCCAAGATGCGACGTCGAACTTTATTACTGTTAACTCGAGGTTGCCGCCAAACATGAGCAATTGTCCTTAAACAACCTTTGTCGGAGTGAGAAAGACGGCGCACATCTTCCACGCGAATCGGCCAGGACTCACTTACCTACGACAACACTGAGCTAACAGATGCGCTGTAAATGCGGCCTTTTAGCGAGAATGAGACGTCGCGACGACGCCAAAAGTGCCTCAGATTGGCAAATGTTGATCGGGCTTTAGCGATGCGAAGAGAAACTTCGTTGCTGATAGTGCCGTCAGTAGAAACACAGTTTACAAGGTAGACGAAACTATCTACCTGTTCAAATTGTGCATCTTCGAGAGTGAGCACGGGAGCAGGTGAAAGCCAATCCTTGAGCAGTACTTTACACTTTGATGGGGTGAAGCTGATGCTATACTTAGATGCTTCAATCGTCAAACGCTCCAGAATGAGTTGCCTACCCTTAGGATCGTCACCAAGTAAGGCGATATCATCAGCATAATCTAAGTCGGTTGCGCGCTCACCCGGTAGAAGCTCTAGGCCAAAATGTTGGAAACCTTCTAGGGCATTCGACAGAACGTCTTTGATTGCGAAGTTGAAGAGGAAGGGGGAGACAAGGCAGTCCTGTCGCACACCACTATTGACAGGGAATTGTGAGGAAAGCTTGCCACAGACCCTCACTCTACCAGATGTATTAAGGTAAAGTGCTTGTAAGATGGCAGTATATTTATCTGGAACCCCGTTCTTTAGCATGCAACGCCATAAAGCAGGTCGATCAGCGGAGTAAAAGCGGCAAGTATGTCTAGGAATTCAATGATACTGGGTCTGTGATAAACGTGGCGATGTTCGAGGAGCTAGCGGAGCATGGAGATTTGATCCATGCATCCGCGGCCGGGGCGGAAACCAGCTTCTTCTTCAGGGTAGTATGATAGAATAGATGCCAATAGCTTGGAGGCAACCGAAAAACTAATCCTGCGATGGTTTGCACATGAAGTGCGAGCGTCTTTCTTGGAAATAGGGACAATAACTGATTCGCCCCTAGAGAAGGCACTTTCGCTTCATGCCAGATTTTCGCGAACAGCGCGGTCAGCTGGTTAATAATCGCCACACCGCCGTACTTGAACAACTCCGAAGGAAGTCCACCTGAGCCGGCAGCCTTGAACCGCTTTAAGCGTCGAATTTCGAGGCTGACTTCCGCTTCGCTGGGTGCATTCACTCGGACGAATCAGGGTGGACAGCAAGGTGTACTACATGTACTAATAGACGGTGGAGGCCAGTTGAACTGCGAGTGAAAGTGCTCGGCCCGACAATCCTAACGCCTCTGTTGGTTGGTGATCGGAGACTCATCTAACTCTCAAATGACCTCACTGACACCAGGCTTCCTGAGGCCAGTGGACCGAATGAGCTGGAAAAGTCTGCGAGTGTTGCCAGAGAGGGCAGCGGTCTCCATCTCTAAAGCACGCTTAGACCACCATGTCTCACGATCCTTGCGTAGGCTTTGCTTGAGCAGTCGGTTGGCAGAACGGCGCCGCTCGTTGCAATCTGATTCTGCGGGGATATATTTGCGGCGTTCGAACAGCTCCAGAGAACAAGCCGAGATCCAAGCCTTTAGGGGGCGTCTAGTTAGGGCCGCAGTTTGACCGACCGGAAATGATCATCGCTTTCCGTATACAAGTCCTGTGTTGCTCCACGTCTTGCGGTGGATGGCAACTGAGTGCGTATGCCAGTGAAGAGTGATAGTTCGCCTAGACAGAGGAATCAGTTAAGCTGTTTACATCAATCTTGCGGTGCTTCGTGTTTCGGGAACCCCCAAAACACATACAGATTTTCGCGCAGAACAGTGCATGATCTGAGTCAACGAAGGTGGACCAGAAGGACCTGCAGTTCAGTACACTGCCGCGCCATCTGAAGCCAATTGCAATGTGATCATTTGGAGACTACGGTTGTGTTGGCGAAGGGGGACTCCACGTTGCGGAACGCTTCTTCGTATGTCTGAAGTTAGTGCCCGAGAGAAACAGATGGTTGTCTTCGTACAATGTGAGAAGTCTCTCTCCATTATCAGAGCGGTTCTCATCGAGCGTGTGATAACCACCAACGTGCCGTTCGTATGGCAAGAGGCCATCGACCGGTGCATTAAAATCCCCAGCAAGGACAACGACATCCGACTTTGAATCATTAGTCAAGAGCTGATGTAGATCCCGGTAGAATTTGTCCTTGACCGAGTCGCCACTGCAGTCAGTTGCAGCGTACACGGAGACCACAAACATATTGCGTATCTCTTCGCGGTTCTTGTTGACTCTACAGGAACCCCGAAGGCGAACTGCACCTACTCGGCTTTTAATCGGGAACCAGTCCAGTAGTGCCGCCTGGGCCTTGCCACTTAGTGCTATTCCTACACCAGCCAAACCCGCTGAGTCTGTTTCTGGATCTCCAGAAAGACGCAGGTCATATCTGGCTCCGTGGTCAATGGGGGATGTTAACGTAAGCACAGTGGTGGGATCTTGCAACCGGGTTTCTGAAAGGCAGCAGACATCAATTTACAGGGAATCTACGGTGCGCGCTAGACCGGCATCCTGTCCAATCTGCATGAGTGTCCGAACATTAAAGCAAGCCAGACGGAATGAGGATCGGGGGTGAAGGGGATCCATAAGGTGAACTCCGTGGTCCGCGGCGCAACCGGAATCGCAGCCAGATTGTTAAACACATGAATCAGGTAACGGAAATCGAGGATTGTTAGCAAGCAAACAATTGGCGTGTGATGAAGGCGCGTGAATATGAGATGCAGAAACGGTAGCTGATGAGCAGGTTGTAGTACAGTCCATGGTTTTGCGAGAGGGCGTGATACTACCCGGTTGCCCAAACCGAAGTAGGAAGTTGATTTAGAGGACTCCACCCCAAGCCTTTGGCTAAATAACCTACCCGCAAGGCAGCGAGGAAATTTAGGGAATCGCGCCCATTGGGAGACGCTGCCTGAATATTCAGTTTATGTGAGTTTCTTTGGTAGATTACCAAACAGGACCCCAATACTTCCCATGAAATCAGTACAATTGCCGGAATGCAATGCCCCACCTAGGTGGAACCTTGTCGCCGAACACTTCGCTGAAACGGGGTGCACCCGAAGCACCGAGCTGGCACCAACAGATAGTTCGGCAA